GCATCAGAATACAGGGTCTTCAGATTAATTGACATGGCTGTACATGAAGAGATATTCACACTTCCCTACTACGGAAGGATCAAACCCCAAGAAACATCATGAGCACGGACTGTTTTCAAGACTAGCTTCAAGGCCCGTCTTGAGCCAGAGCTGAGAAAAGTGTAGATTTCAATGGGCATTAGGAACCTCAAAATGGAGAAGACATGCAAAAAGTCTAGTCCCTGATGATCTGGGAGGGCTCTAGTCCTATCACTATACGATTATTATTAACGGGCTAACTAGTTCCGCCGATCCAAAACCATAAGGGTCAATCCCTTTCTCCGTGAAACTTGCTTGAAAGGTTCCCGGGGGCACTACCGGAGTAGCGTCAACCAACGCCGTTGCAACATGTTGCAACTCTCACCCACCCCGGCTTCTCCGCAACCACACCCTTCACTTCGGGACGCCTTCGGAGGAGGCCTCGACGCAAATCCCCACCCCTTGCAACAACGTTCCTCATCAGCCCGCTGCCCTGTAGGCAGGGCCACTATTCATCTCACATGGGACCCAACACACCACCACCACACAACCCCACCCCTGCGATCAGAACTCTGCCCCTTCAGCAGTCAGTCACTGCCACGACACCTTCTACACTGCCCTGCAGATCACCACTGCTTCAGCAGATAATCACCACCAAAGCACCATCTACACTACCTGACACATCATCAACATCTTGCACCACGAACCCACCACTCCAGAGTCCATACCTGACACAGCAGCACACCGGATCTGATGTACCCAGGACCGATTCATCCAGACACAACAAGACCCTAGTCAACGGGGATGGTTGGACACCCCGCTGTGTCTACGGTGCCTACAGCCGAATCACACGATGCGAGCTCGAGCAAACCGCTGATCTCACCTCCACCTCTCCAAAGGAGAACGCTATCTGACTCCATCTTCGAGGCCCAATCGCATTACAACTCAACGCAGACCCGTTTCCAAAGGTTCAGATGCGCCTCGCCAAGACTCAACAGCCCCTAGCGAGACAGACGACGACCTCCACGACAACCTCTTCAAAATCCACCTCGCCCAGACCTTCTCCCCGTTAATGCTCGGGGACTCATCATCACACCAGCGGTCGCGGACCACGCGGTCCTCGACAACCAGATGAGTCACCTACAGGAAGCAAGCCGAGATGCACTGTCGCGGGCAAATCCGATGATCGCCCTCGTCAACGATGCGCCACCAAAGCGGGTTCTCCGAACCGTCCTCGTCATCGACGATTGCCAGCTGGTGATTCGACGACCCGGAGAAGCACCGCAACAACAACTTAGTCCTCACGCAACGCAGCATCCTCTTCGAGGCACACATTGCCCAGTTCAGTCGCACACGGTTAGCTGAGACTACGTTCCAGAACCCGCCGCGGAGATGAACGAACATACAGTCCATCAGGCCCAAGTGGGCCTGATCGCCATTTGCGTTCACAACGACAACGGTGAAGCGGCCTCCCTGGCCAGTCTTTGACTGCCTCGAATCATGCCACCCACAGCGCTGCCAATGCTTATGACGCCCCCCATGCTCGCCAGCGGGAGCACGCAATTTTGTCAGGGTTCAGCCTGCACGCAGCATTTGGCAAATGGCAGGCCTAGGGAAAGGGTGGCCCTCTCGGCGAGGGCCAGTGTGCTGGATAGTCCAACGCGTGGCTACCAGCACAACAAGTTCACCCGATGCGGATGGCGGCAGCTGGGGCCGAAGGAAGACATCGATCTTGCAGTCCAACATCATCAGGATCACTCATCTTTAGGACAACGCTCCGACCGTGTCAGGTACACGCATTGGAGCGACAATACACGGTTCCACATCACTCTTGCCGACAGCAGATCAAAATAATGGGAGCTCGGTATCAGATGCACTGAAATGGAACCCTGGGGATACAAGTGGTGCCATCTCTGCTACAGGCCACTGACGAATCACGGAAGCAGGCTTTGATCCGGATGCTAGAGGATTTGCTGGCGGACCAGCAACGTGCGAGACGCTCCAGTGCCTCCGAATTCTCAATTGCAGTGGTTGGCAAAGACTCCTGCTACACTTTCGTGGCGACCCCAGTCACTGTCTTACAAGATCATGCTTTCATCCATGGGCTGTTCTGCCTACCAACCCCCGGAACATTGCAAGTGATCATGTGAACGAAGGTTTGCAAGGATTTTGCGGAGGCCGACAACGCAGTGAAAAAGAAACCGCTACAGGTCGCTAGCATTGTCATGGGTACTGCATGGTACTGGTACTGCATAGCCTCGTGCAATTACAGCTGCAAGGGCGGCTAGTAAAGAAGCCGGCAGGAGGGAAAGGATGGCTGCTTTACGCGGATTGATAACGAAGCCTTGGCCACATCAGCTGCCCGACTGGCCCCAGCACCTACGTGGAAGCATAATGCAACCATTGCACTTGCAAGTCCTTCGACAACTGTTGGCCATAAGCTGCATCCCATGTCAATCCGACAGACGCTACTGCAGCAATCTCTTGACTAGCAGGTGACCCGCACGCGGAGATGGCCGGCTCAAGTCATTCTGGCAAGAAGGCTGTCCCACAGACGAGTGGCACGGCCACAGGCCACAGCTCGACTGCGTGGTGTCAGTGGGAAATGCACTCTGCAACAGGATTTCCAAAATGCACTGCCACCCACAACATCCAGCAAGCAAGCGTGACTTGCAACACCCTCAGCTTGCAAAAGTTGGTGCAATGGAGCACAGCAATATTTCGTCAAACATAAGGAGAGTATCAGTGTGCCTGATTGATTGATTGATTGATTGGTGGATTGATTATGTTTTGCAGCTTCTTAACTGCCACTAGCCGGCAATTTCAGTAGTGACGATCGACGTGTCTTTCGTTCACTCTGCGCGGCCAAGCAGCCAAGTTCTGAACACAAAGGCAGGGTTAGCCTGAAAAACACCACATGTTTCTAGAAATGCCTCCGTTCACAGCATAGACTCAGGAGCGCCCGAAAACCTGACAATGTGCAGCACTAGGCCGCCGCTGATTGTGAGTTTGACAGATTTTCTGGAAGTTTACAGAACGTTTTCCGGTTTGCCTGGCAAGGTTCCGCGTGTTTTTCCGGGTTGTCATCCAGGCTGCCCTGACATACGTCTATCCTGTATAAAGCCCTTATGGTGTTGAATGCAATAAGTAGAAACCCCCGATCAGAACCGCGTGATTGATTGCCGGCAGCTCTCACTGGAATTCGTAACTGCAAGACCACCACTACCAAAGTGTAACACTGCGCACGATTAAATTAGAGCAGAGCACCTTTAAACATTGTCAGATTTCTTAACCATACCGTAGGACCACAAGAGACATAGCGCTTTGAGACCAAGCCTGATCGACAAGGTCACGGCAGCGATCCGAGTTTCCGCCAGCCAGCCAGTCAAGGCTAGAATGAATGAAGGTGGCGAAGCGCTTGCGCTCGAAGGTTGTGCGGGAATGGCAAAGTAGAACCCGAAGGCTTCGAGGATGCCGTTCGGCCAGCGGCACCCGTGCCACCACCCTGGCATTGCACAAAGGTTTCAACCCATCGTGAAGGAACTGTGAGCATGCAGCGCCTGCGAAATGGTAGAGAGACGGCTGTGGTACAGAACGCTCCTGAGGGACTAGATGACTGCGTCGTATAAACGGCAAGACAAACGCCGGCACGGAAGCAAGCAACCACTCCTCATGCTGGCCCTGCTATGAAGAAGAGTTGACCGATGGCTTGCATGGTGGAAATCGTCCGGCAAATTCGGGTAGCCCAAGACGTCGCCGACAGCTCCAGCAGACATCCAGTCCTTTGTTTGTCCAAGTTGCCCGCAGATTAAACAAGAGACTTGATGTGGAATAGCATGAACTTCATAAAACTCAGCACCGTTGGCCGAAGGCCCAACAACACCCAGCAGCATTAGCATCAGCACTCGAAGCTTGCAGCTGCAGTTTTGTTGGCTAAGTCTGCCTAAGGCTCGACACCAACCACGTTGAAGAAGCGCTTGAGGAAATCGATCACCAACAAGCCCAGCAAGTCATACAACCAAATCCTGAGCTCAAGGACATGGATTTGCTAGAAAAACTACGGCACCAGCAACACATGATGATAGCAGGATCTGCTGAGGCGGCAGCCAACCGATATCAACCCAGGCCTTAACTGTGCCAGCGAATGTGTGTACTGAGGAATCAAGATGAACCAACATGCAACAATCTGCTCATCGGCACACCCTCTCTCACGCAACGTTACTTGCAGTCTCAGCTGCCACTTTGTGAACAATTTTAAACGTGTCACCAAAACCAGCAAGCAGGGAGACCAGAATGTTGCCACCCATCACGCAGACCACGAGGAGGACAGAAGGCAGAGAATCTCTGCGAAAGAAGTTGCAAACATATACTGGAGTGCGGCAGGAGAAGATGAAAAGCTCCACAGCAATAGACATCTGCAAATATGTCACAGCCATACGATACTCATCAGAGCCATCTCCCTGCAGAAGGTCTGACATGTACAAGGCCATCGTCTGAGCTGTGCCGAGAAATCCGTAGAGGAACGAGGCTAGCAGAATTGATGGCATCGACGGAATTTCGGGAAGAGCTGATGGTGCAGCGTTGTCACTGGCGACAGGCAACATAGTCACATCGTTCACCAGCGCAAGCAGGATCACATAAATGGCTGGCATTGTGTCATTGTATGCGTAGATGAGTATGGACAACACGAGCACAATTTGGATGGTTGCTGCAATGCGGTACAAGACGTAGGATCTCAATCTGGCAAAAATCTTCCGTGACTCCACAACGGCATCGAAAATGGCAGAAAGCCCCGGAGATGTGAGGATGATGTCAGCAGCTGAGCGTGCTGCTTCGGTGGCACCATCCACGGCAATGCCTATTTGTGCCTGAGCGAGCGCTGGCGCATCATTAACACCATCACCAGTCATGCCAACCACTAAACCACGGTTCTGCAGTACCAATATAACCTCTCTCTTGTCCTTGGGGAGGACCTGCGCAAAGCCATCTGCAGTCATGATGGTCTCATCCCGAGTTGCTGATGCAGGCCACAGGTCTGAAGCAGGCAGTATGCCAGTTCCAAGGCCGATTAAGCGGCTCGTCTCTACGGCAATGTTGAGGTGATCACCAGTAATCATCTTCACGTTGATGCCGGCAGCCCTGATGCGGAAGATTGTCACCTTTGTATCCTGCCGCGGTGGGTCAAGCATGGGAATGATTGCTACAAACTGCATAGGCCCTTCATCCTCAGAAACTGCAAGGCCGACTGTCTTGTACCCCTGCGACGAGAGACGGATATCTACCTCTTTGAGTTCATCCCTTAGCACGTTGGCATCAACACATTCCCAGCAGTCGCCACCATCATCTCCAGTTGTCAGAACTTTGTCAACCAAACCCTTGGAAATCTTCAACTTGCCTTTCTCCTCATGCTCACAGTACACGACTGTCCGCTTCACAGTGGGATTGAAGCCCACGAATTTGGTCTTCTTGTATCGGGCCATCAATTGCTCGGCCTCGTTGCCACCAAAGTGCTCATGCCCGGAACCCAACACTGCTTTGTCGATGGGGTCTTCTTTGTTTGCTGGGTTTGAGGCCAAACAGGCGTAGAGCAACGCATCATCTTTGGGCAATTTGTTGCGAGTCCATGTTCTGTGAGGCAGCACTCTCATATCAGCTGTGGTCAATGTGCCGGTCTTATCTGAACATAAAACGGTCATGGAGGCAATTTCTTGAAGGGCGGTCAGATGTGTCACGATCGCCTGCTTGCTTGCCATGCTGGCAGCTCCGATTGCCATCGTCACTTGCATGACCAATGGTAGCGCAATGGGTACAGCACCAATTACTAGCGCTAGGACATTGAGGAGCGCTTTGGAGAACACAATCCCCCTGTGGGCAACATCAAGATAAAGCACAATGCCTGCGTCCACAAGCGCCAACAGTATAACAGCATGCACAACCTGCATTATCTTGGTCTCGAAGATGCCTGGCTGATGGCCTGAAGCTTCTGCTACTAGGCCGGCAGCTTGTCCAATTTCTGTATTTAGTCCAGTCTCCCTGACTTCGCAGTGGGCCTCTCCTTGCTTCACTATGCAACCTGACAGCAGCAACTTTCCGGATCCTGTTGGCTCACCTTCGCGATCTGGGCGCGGAATCTTGCGGGGAATTGGCTCACCAGTTAACGCGGCCGTGTCTACCAGCATCTCATCACCCTCCAAAAATTCACAATCAGCAGGAACAATGTTGCCACCGCGCAGGAAGATCCTTAGAGGAAAGCTACACCTACCGCACAATTGTCAGTCACTTGCCTAGGCAAGAACAGAACCGATCGTACTAACTGCGAAGCACAGCAAAGGCTCACATCGCCTGGAACAAGGTCCGCGACCGGAATAATTATCATGGTCCCATCTCGCTTCACGGGCACTGTCGCTGTCATTTGCGCTTTCAGCGCGTCCAATGACTGGCGAGCTTTGAACTCTTCGTGGAAGCCGATCAAAGCGTTCACAAGCAGCATGAGGAGGATGACTGAAAAGTCCGCCCAGTCTTCAGTGACTGCAGAAAGGGCAGCCGCAATGATCAGCATGAAGGGCATCATGCCAACGAATTGCTTACCAAGCATAACATACCAAGGCTCCACGTGCTCCGGGATCTCGTTCTTGCCGTACTGAAGGAGCCTAGCTGCCGCTTCTTCAGCTGTTAAACCACTGAGAGGTCCATCATCTGATCCAGAAGGCGCATCCGCACTCGACCCGATAAGTGACTGGTTGCTAGGAGCCAAATTAGCACTCGGGGGAGTATGCGGGGCATGTATAGTGATCTGTATGCGCTCTGGCTCCGACGGTCGCCCATCGTCAGTAAACGGAGACCGAGTCAACTCTGGGTCCTGTGGTTCGTTCCCTTCGTTGCCCTCGTTTGCCAAGAGAGGTGCCTTTGACTTTGCTGGCGCTGCCGCCATGGCACTTTCGCTGTGGCGGCCCCAAGCTCAACTACCCATAACCTCGAGCCAACCGCATAGCCCGCACTTTCAAAGCAAAATGGGAGATCAAGCTGCGAGTTCTGCCGGTACAGACAGGACCACTCAAAGATTCATTGCACCACTGGCTGCCTGTTGGACAAACTCGTGGAATCGCACACGCAACGCCTGCACAATTCCGGGAGCTGCAGTGCGCGTCTGCCGCTGGTGCGATGAACTCTGAGAAAGCTGCTGCTGAAACATCCAAGAGTCGCGTGGATAAATGCCTCTCCTGCGCTTACAGCACAGACACTCGCAGCTTGCGATGGGCAAACCAAATGCGTGGAAGTCAATTTATTTGCCTCTGTGATGCCAGGAGTTTATGCGTCCTGGGGACATGCTTCTCCGAAGAACATGCCACCAGAAACTATACGCATACCCAATCCTTCCAAACTTTACTCTGGAAGATGGCCAAAGTCTTCACAAGCAAGTCCACAAATCTTTGGGAAGATGGACTTTGCAATATGTACAACTTGCACAAACACGGACAGCACAAGAGGAAAAGTGCCACGAATTCTTGTGAAGTCCTATGCCCCAGCCCTATGCAAAAGAAAATTGCACCAGTAGAGTAGAGCAGATAACTTGCTCTGTATCGAATTCAACTCTGGCAAAAAATGGCAAAATGTCACCATATTGCAGCTTGTATCAGCTGGCAATAAAGCGAACTGCTACTCATGTACAGGTTGTGGGCCGGCATTGCTCCCACATCTGAGGCATGGAGTGGTGCGCTGCAGCAAAACACGCTGAGCTGCGCGGTGAGCTGCACCGTCAGGTTTGTGACCATGTCTTAGTGCCGCAGTTCTTGCGCCTCACCTGCTCATTAAGCACAAAACGTCAGTCACAGAGCTTCCAAGCCCAATGAAATTTCCGCTCCTTGCGCCAATTGCTCCAAATACCACAGGCTGCGGCCAACATGGCAAGCAGACCAAGCCTTTGCGAATGTGAGGGTGAATGTGACAGATGTGACAGTTAAACCGCGACGCTTTGGCATTCTGCTAAGCTTTGTGGGCATGATGGGCCATGCCAGGCCTTGCATGGGATGCTGTGGAAATCTTCAACTTGGAGAGGAGGACCCTGTAGCTGGCAACCATGCCAACAATCTCCACAGTGTGGAAAAGTCGTGGGTCCTGGCACCAAGAGATGTGCACTTGCACAGCTGCATATCCACACATACCGGGGCTCTGGCATCTGGATCAGCCACGCCTAAAACAACTTGAGCTGGTATTGTCTTGAGTTTAATCAAAACTCTAATTCTGCAAGACTACATGCAGCCTAGAAGCGCTTCAGCCCAAGCCTCAGTACCGCCTTGTACAGCATAAGCAGGTTTGCACCTGAGATGGGGATTGCAACTGGATGTGAGTTTGCAGCTGCTGTATGGCTACAGTAACTGACTGCCGGGGCTTGCGCAGATCGCAAAATTGAGTCTCCACACAGATGCCCAATTCCGCTTGCGCTTGACATCTCGGCACAGCACACCATCAAACATCAGCAGGTTCAACGTGCAAACATAAGCCTTGTTGGGGCTCTTGGATCAATATGCAATAGCAGGTGTTTGATCTCACTTCTGGCACACTCTGCTTTTTCCAGGCACCTTCTGGAAAGTTGGCTTGCGCCAGTTGCATGCTGCAAAAATTGCCGAAATACTTTTCGGGACGCACCTTCTGCTCTGAAAAGGTGGTCCTAAGATGTCCCAAAGCTCTTGATTACGCGCTTGTCTGCCGTCGGCTGGAGGCATTTGTGCCTCTGTACCAAGATGTGGATTGTCAGTTGCAGAAGCTTTCCTTCACGGAAAAACACACACAAGTTGGCATGTTGCACCCTTGACTACTCAGAGGGAACATCATCGTCCCCCAACCTGCTACAAAAGGATACCACGAGACAAAACGCACCTTCTTCGTTTTGCTTCCCTGAACAGCAGTCTGAAATGCTACATTGGGCACAAAAAAAAACATGTATAGAAGCCGCGCATCCTCAATGCAGAATCCGCTGGCTTAGATACCCTCCCATTGCTGCCACATAAAGCTCCCTTTTCTTTGTTCCCAAAACTCGGCGCAGATGGCTCAACCAAGCGGTTGACCAGGAGTCACGCCTTGCTAGCCGCAACACTCAAACTACGCACCTCCTATTTGGAACAAAACGGGGCAGCATGGATTGAAGATTTGTCCATGCAACATTGCCACTCAACACATTTTTCAGTCTGCCTCCATCAAGATGCTCCGTTTATTAGGAAAGGGAAGGGCGTAAACTGAGGCAAGTTTTGTCCTGAGTGCAACCACTGGACGAAATCTGGTTCAGTCTGCGCGCCTCCATTTGGGACAAAAGGGGAGTGTGTGGATTTTGGCAGGAGTTCTCCTGTGGCAAGTACTGGATGAAGTCTGCTTCTTTTCAAGCACCTCTCTTCTGAACAAATCGTGAGTGCGCAGAACTTAACAAAATCTGCCTTCGTCTATGCGCCTCCTTTTGGACAAAAAGCAGTTTGGAGATTGAGGCAAGTTTTGGGTGACGGCGCCTCTACGGGCCCGTGCGTTTCTGCATATTTTGGTTGCTTCCTGTTGTAGAAGATGCGCTGGGGTGGGGGGGAGGGGGGACGGGGGGGAATCGACGAACGCTTCTGACGCAGCAGCAACTCTCGAACAGGGTTTTGTCTGCGTTTCCTCGCGCCATGTTCGAGCTGTCTGTCCATGCTGAACTTCAGGGCACGATCGACTTCGTGACGCCGCCAAAGAAGCGTAGCCTGTCTCCCGCTGACTCCACAGCTTCTGTTGCCGGCTCCGTGTGGGACGCTGAGCCTGCGAAGGTTGCTGTACTGGCTTTGCAGCACGGCGCTCAAGACCGAGCTCATGTTTTGGTTTTGGGCTGTGGTTCGGTGACGGGGCTGGAAAGTATAGGATTATATTTTCCGCTTAAGGGTTTGGCTTTCCGGACTCCAGCAGCAGGACCTGCCGCTGACGTTGGGTTTGCGACCCCTGTCCGAACGCACTTTTCCGTTCGTGATGCTTCCAGTTACTTTTCCTGCGCATGGCAGCCGGGTGAAGTTCTACCACGCTGTGATCGCCGCAGCTTCACTCCGCACAACTGCAACCACGACAGGCGCTCTTGAGGGTCGTGCTTTCGATGCGGTATCTATGTTGGCTCAACAAGAGGCTACAATTATGCGGCAGCATGGACAGGGGGCGAAGGCAGAAAGGTGGTTGGAGGGCACCCGCAGAGTTGCAACGGCTCGTGGCAATCTCGCTCGGTTTGGCCATGCCTTCAGGCTCCAGGGACTCGCGATTAGCTCTCCTTGCTTGCAGAGGCTGTAGAAGCTGGAGTGCTGCAGCACAGCAGAGGTGTCACGAAGGTAGATGCTTGCAC